CCTTTTGTTTTTATCTGTTTGCAGCTTGTGAAACAGAGCAGGAAATTCCTCTAGGACTGCAGGACTCACAAACACACAAACTAGGAGGAGTGCCAAGACCGAATCCCAACACACAAAACACACTCACTTGCAGATAAAAACAAGAGTAGGTTAAAAGACACTGAAAAGACAAGGGAGACCTGGGGTGTATACACACAGATACTACGTGGACAAATCGGAGTAGTGGAAACGTGTGAAAAATGAAGAGCTGAAACTAATCAAAGGCAATGGGACAAGAGAGGTAAAACTAACTATAAAGCACAAATCAAAACAGCACAGGAACCAGCATGACATAGAAACAAGTACCACAAAGACAAGATACAAGGGAACATGGGGATACCAGTAAAAACGGAAAATAAACTACATCTCTAACCGCAACAGTCTTACTTTAAAAAAAGGTACCAAAACTAAGAAACTTAAAGAGTAAACTGAGAAAACAATTAAGGAAATTATACCGGAAATATCTACCCGAAAAAACATCATTCAAAACTCAAAACGTAATGAACACAGGAGTCTACACTCGCCTAGAAAGGAAGCACAACTAAGAACAATGAAACTCATCCCAGGACCTACATATTAATAGAAACCCCTTAGACAACAGCCACAAAACCCCAGGTCCATGATACTTTGTGTTTCTATCTTCCCCTATGCTCCAAGGCTCCTGGGTCTTTTTAGTCTTTTTAGGACGTTTGCAGCTCAATCAAGTGATCATTTTTTCTAATGTCTTACGCCTCAGTGTACTGCATTTGGGTCCTCTCTTCTCCTTACTTTGCTTTTTTATTTTCTGGTCTTGGCTCTGTATGATGCCACTGAGATGAGATACTCCAGATCAGCTCATTTCAGGCACATAGCTCTGGCAGTAAAACCTGCTTACTGTTAGCACTATCACTGTTTAAATATTTTGCTTCCAAGAGGCAGCCAATCAAATGAAAACAGCCTTAAAGGGAGGGTGGCCTAACAATGATTGATTAAAGGATTATTATTTTGAACTCTAAATCATCAAAACTATTATGGCAGAATCCAAAAAATATATATTTAGATGGAAACGAGAGTACCCCTTTAGATTGTGTTTACTCAAGGCTCTTTGTGATGTGTCTCAATCAGCCTCATGGTAGCAGGATACTGTACAATGTACTGGCAGTTTGGGATTCAGAGTGTTTCTGAAAGAGTCACCAACCATGTCATTGACACATAACCTACTCTGCCTCCTTAGCCACAGGTATTGTAATACCTAATGAAATGACATTGAAATGTCAGGTAATAAGACTATAGCTGCTGAGTGGAGTGCTTCTAACATGCCTGCCTGCTTTGGCAACCTCACTCACACCCATAAACTGTCCTGCCTCTCTGCTCTTGTAGCACCGGGTGTGCTGATCTCATTCTTTGTAAGTGAATTTTCTGAGAACAGCTGAGTGGACTTTACATGCTGCTGCTTTCAGAGCAAGCCATTGTACTCCCTGCTCTCCATCTGAACTTAGCCCTGCAGGGATCAGATCAGTGTGCATTTAATTAAAGCATAGGTAATGCACTAGGTGGATAGATAATCCATTTTAGTTACGATACCCCCTCCGCTCATAATTATTACACTGTTTCTATTTCCCTATAAGGGGTGATCAGGTCGCCTGTTGGCCTTCCTCTCCACTCTATCTGTCTCCATCTTTCTGTCGTGCATTCTCATCAGGCTCCTGCAGAACTGACTACATGATGCGGTACTGCAAGCCTGTCGTCACTTTCATGGTAATCTGTGCTGCTTGATTGTGTGCTGTTGCATGTAATCAGTCTCAGTTGTGTTTTCCGTGAGTTTTCGTCCTGCTGCTCATCAGTGACGGTTGGAACTGTTCAAACAAACACACAGTTGAGCAAATACAAAGTTGTTAAGATTTCTGCCTTATGATGAATGAAGGTCTTTTATATTTTTATTTTGTTGCAATGAGGTTTGATTACATCAACAAGAGTGGGCCCTTTGGAATCAATACGTTTTTCATCAGCTCGTTTTGATGTGATCAATACATTCTGCTGTTTCTCTATTCACTTTGAACAGTGAGGACAGATGAGCTCTTGGTTGATCAGGGCCTGGAGACAGCTGTCTTCTTTAGGATTTGGGACACATTTACGTTATACAGTACTGTGCAAAAGTCTCAAGGCACCCTTATTTTTTGTATTTTGCCAGGAAAGTGGGAAGGAGCTGCGGCAGTCACAGTCAAACATACATGGAAAGGTTGAAGTTCAATATTTGGCGTGACCATCTATATTCTTCAATACAGCCTGAACTCTATTAGGCAAGCTTTCTTGTCATTTCTTTAAGCAGTCTTCAGGCTTCTTGAAGGATTTTTAAAGCTCATATTTGGATGTCGGCTGCCTTTTGTTCTGTTCTGTGGTGGGATGCTCTCACACTGCTTCAATAATGTTGAGATAAGATAAGATAACTCTTTATTGTCATTGCACAGTCATACATAGTACAGTAGTACAATGAAATTGGAAAAAACTGTCCTACGTCGGCACTACATATAACACAACACGACACGATATGACACATCACAACGTAACAAACAACACAACACAGTATATTAACTTAGTATAAAAAAGAAGAATAAGTGTATGTGTATTGCACACTGTTATTATTGCACATTAATTATTATTGCACCTTGTTATAAATATAAATATTATTGTTATCGTTTTAAACATTGTTACCTCCCCCTAAAAAGTCCAGGGAGGTATCCAGTCAGGTCAACTATTTACATTGATCAGGGCTATTGCCCTGTTGTAAAAGCTGTCCTTGAGTCTATTTGTTCGGGACCTCAGCAGCCTGAACTGGTCTGGGTTCTGCCACTTCTTCTTTTTGAATTTTTGTTGATTCAACTGAAGAAATAAGAACAAATGACGTATTTTTAAGACAAACAAAACAAGCAAACAAAAAATCTGTCTCCTCTGAAGCAAAATATAAAGAAGTAAGGGCCGACTCAAGGGTTTTGCACACTCACTCAAACTTTTATATTTTCCATCCTTCTCCTAAAGTTGCATCGTTAATCAGCAACATAGCAATATGGGAAAACGTATTCATCTCGCTACCTGCCTCCACCCACTCACCATCGCTGCTTCCTCTTTCCAATTAAGCTCACCAAGACATGCTGGATGATTATGGAGGAACTTATTTCCAAAAGGCATGCCTCAGTTAGTCTGGCGCTACAGCAGATGGGGATTGTGAGAGTAACACTCATTCATCCTGGCAAGCTAACCAGCACTCTGTCTGCAATTAAGAAGTTGTGGGCAGTCAAGTGAACTCAGTGTTTTTCGCATCAGTATTGCATGTTGCTGCTAAAAAGAGTGGGAAAAAAGACTCTGGATTACCATTACATAAAGTGTGTTACTGATAAAAGAAAATTGAAATCCAGCCCATGGCCCTAAATTTCAGTGAATGGTGTATATTAAGTAATTGCATCCTAATCTACTTTTTTCAGCCTCATTCAAGCCTAAAGGTAAAACCTTTCCTTTCCCCCCCCCCTTCTTTTTAAAAAATAAATAAATAAAACTCTTATTTCTAGTGTCTGTAAGTCACTAGTAGGGCAGTAATTCTGCAGCACATGCTGAGGAAGCAACCTTGGACAGCTTGCTGTCTGTTCGTGACACCTCTTGTATTTCAAATTAATTATAATTCTGATGGCTCAAAAAACAATCCAAGCACAACTGTACAGTAGACTATAAATAATGGATGGGTAGATGCACTGAAGGATTTAATTTAACACAGAGTAAGGGAAAGAGAATGACCCATGAGAAGCAATCATGTGGCGTAAATTGGCCTGGGGGCTGATGAACTCAGATGTGTGGTAGTGATGCTGTTATAAAAAAATGAGCCAGTATGTGTCGCTCTTACCCCAAGTAGCCCGAGCACATTTTGGTGTGCGCGTTGCTTTACCGTAATGTTTTCATGCCTTAGAAGCATTCAGAGGGAAGCAGTAGTTGACCAAAGGCATATTTGATATTAGTACATGTCCGTTATAACATCTTATTCTCGTTAAAGTTATACCAAATTAAAAAAAAAA